CCTGCCACCAGAACATCCCCCCCCACATATCAAACTATCACAACAGGATTTGATAGCTACATGTTGAAAGTTTCTGTTAACAGTACTGTAATTTTATTAGTTTGTGTAGGATAAAATGTTCGTTTTGTGAGTCTTCATTTTTACTAATGTCTTGAACTAGCTGAAGACTTTTGGAATTTTGAAGTCATTTGTGCTTTTTGCTTGTACCATCTATTCGTTTAATATAAAATGACTATTAGTTTTGAAAGTCTGTGTCTCAGTATAAGTTTTATATCATAAAATCACAAAATATATGTGAATATGGAGTTCACCTTGCTCCAAAATTGCAATGAACTTAATTGTCATTATGCTAGGAAACATATGATATGTCACATCTTCATACAGGGGAAATTATTAGAAGTGCTGGATATAAAGCCAATATACTCTAGATCAGAACGGGACAGTGCCCTTACTGCTAGAACACAACAAACAGGATGATGTGTTTCACAGATCGAGTAAATTTGCCATACTGTTTTTCTCTTGGTTTCATTGGTGTCAGTGATGAGCACTTGAGTTGAAGTGATAATAACCTTCTCAAATTCATTAAAAAATACTGAGTTGGTACTGCTTAAGCATGGCTTAGGTCACTGAGTACAGCAATAATATTATTGTTTTAGTCAGGGCCCTACTGCACTGTGTTTCACAATGTCAATCGGCCAGTCAAAATTTACCTCACCTTATTTTTTTCAGAAAATTCCAGAGCTCATTCAAGTACCTGATAGATGTAGGTGGGCCTGAAGGTAGAAGTTCTCTATTTGCAGAATACAAATAGTACTAATGAGGCAGTACCGGTACAAGGTTTCCCAGATTGCCTTGCTCTCCCAGGCTGCTGTCCTAACTGCACAAGGAACATCCAGATAGATTAGAAGGATAACTTATTTTTCATGTCCAATTTAGATGGAGGCCTTCAGACTGAGGCTGCCATCGAGGCTTATAGTTATGATATATGCATAGGTAGAAACAGCTAAATGGAACTGCATTGAGACCAGCAACACAGTTCACACAGGACAACTGTAATACTCAAACCCTGCCCATTCCTCCCAAGCCAGTGTCCGTTTGAACAGCTGAACAGTAGAATATTAGCAATTATTTAAACATCTTTCCCTGAGCAAGTACTGGATAAATCACAGAACATACTGGGGACAAATTACACTGAATTAAGATTAGTTAATAAACAATACAATTGCAGTACCTTGAATGTCTTCTTTAAATAATGACTAGTTAAATGGATCCTCATTTAAGTTACTTTTCAGCTGCTTTTTCATCTATTATGTGCATTTTTCACACAGGCGTCTCCTGGCTGAAGCTGCTCTTCAGAAGCTGGATCTGCAGACTGCTGAACAAGCTTTTGTACGTTGCAAAGATTATCAAGGTATTAAATTTGTGAAGTGTCTAGGCAACCTGCAGAGCGAGTCAATGAAGCAAGCAGAAGTGGCAGCCTATTTTAGCAGATTTGAAGAAGCTGAGAGAATGTATCTGGATATGGACAGAAGGTAATTGCATGTAGTCAGCAGCAAATAAAGAAAAAAGTCTGAAAAAAAAAATACTTGCCTTAATAAGGAATGGCTGTTTTAGTACTGAAGACTTTACCAGCTTCTGGAAAGACAGAAAAGGATCAGAGGAGAGAATTTTGTTGTATCCATAGGTAACCAATTCTATATGTAAATCAGTGCATTCCAAACTGTTTGCAACTCAGCTGCCCTAGGTAGTGCTGTGTTTCATGGATGTTTTTTCTCAAGTATTTTGTCGGTGTTTCAACTGGGATTCCAAAAATACAAACAAACAATCTTAACTAATGTCTAATTTATGTACTGTTGCTCTTAGCTAGTAGCCAAGTATACATTCTTTCCAATTACATATACAAACAACAGTGTTTTTAATGAACTGTAATCTCTGGAGAGACAGGAAGGATTCTGGATAAAGTTGTGGACCAATCAATGGAATTTTTGCTCAGGAATGAAAACAAAGCAAAATTACAATATTACTGGGAAATAGAAATCAATGCTATTTAATTAACTAGAGTACTGCCTTTACTGAAAAAGGATAATGAGAAATAATAAGCAGCAGTTGTATGATGTAGCCTGTAGGTGGTGGTCAGACGTGGAGAGGCATGAATCACTTATGCACATGTGAAATTTTTAAGCTTTGATTAATGAAGCCATGAAAATGAGTAGGGTATGATGGAGAAAAAGTTATTTCTTCTTTCATGCTGTAAGAATGAGAAACTTTCCTCTCCCTCTGTAAGGAGTGGGGGAGGCAGGAGCTGGGGAGAGATGCACGTTAGAGCCTGGTATATGGGAAACTTTCTTGCACATAATTAGCCGATAGAAGTATGCTGGTTTGGAGAGGTGGACTGCCTCATAAGCACTTCAGTCACACTGCAACAGTGATTTTTAGATATGGCATGTTCCTTTCCATGTGGCTGAAGAGAAATTTGGTCATTATAGGATTACAGAAGTCAAAGACATGCCTTTTTTTTTACTAGTTTCTTCAACAGTAGAGCATCTCATTCTTCAGCTACAAGAACATGGGAATTCTGTATTTACCTTACGTGTTTCCTCACCACTAGAAAAATCTTGATAAGGACCTACCATAAATCAGGCTGAAATAAATCTGTTTTTCAAATACAATTTTAAATTTTTTAGACAGATGTTCTTATTTAGTTGACTGCACTGACTTGCTATTGCCTTCCTTAACTCACTTGTAAATTTAGAGCATTTTTAAAAGAAGTGTATAGATCTCTCCTATTTATTTTCTATGCGCCTGCAGAATTCCTTCTATATGAAGTAATACAGAATTATTCTATATGGTAGAAAAAAGGTGCCAGACAGACACACGGTGGGTCGTATGTGTGCATGAATAATAAAAAGGAAAGACTACTTCTGAGACCATTCTCCTTCATCCAAAGTCATCCTGAATCTGAAAGAGAAGTTTCTGAAATCCATTTTATTACATCTCAGCTTTAGCCTCCGTTATTCATATTCCTTGCTCCTTGGCCTTTCCCCTCATCTCTCTTCTGCTTTTAGCCTTTTGCAGCTGCTGCCATCTATTGTAGCAGTCAGCAGTGAAAGATAAAAAATGGTATACAGAATAAGAGGAAACTCGAAGTAGAATCAGCCCAGCTGTCTTGCCGGCTGCTCATTTAACTCTTCACAACGGACTGTGGCTAATACAGAAGTGCATACGTGTGATGTAACCTGTGAGCTCTCTGAGTATTTGCTTGTATGGAATACTGTTTAAATTGTGAACAAGATAGCCGGGATCACTGTGATACCTACAATGTAGGTTATGAACACGAAAATACTTTCAGATGCTTTTCTCAAGATTTTTGTTACCTAGTTTATTGTCTTTGACATTTTCCCGCTATTTTCTGTTTATATTAGAGATCTTGCCATTGGACTACGGATAAAACTGGGAGATTGGTTTCGAGTATTGCAGCTATTGAAAACTGGCTCAGGTGATTCAGATGATGCCCTTCTTGAACAAGCACACAATGCTATTGGAGATTATTTTGCAGACCGCCAGAAATGGTATGTTCTTAGAGGAACTAGTAAGAAGGAAATGACAAAGGAAATTATAAAACTGATGACAAGACTTAATGAGGAAGGACAGATATCAGGAAAGTCAGGATACAATACATGGGATAATTTTGGAATGATGAGAGTTAGCTCAGACCTTTATGTTTTCATCACTGCATGTACCTTTAAACAGAGCTGTTGATCAACTATCTAAAGAACGAAGGTGGTAAAAATCTCAGTTTTGCCAGAAGCCTGCTTCGAAGGAGGGGAGAGGAAGAGCAATACCTATACAGTTGTATTAGGCTGGATGTAGAAAGATTAAAGAAAAATAAAGATCAGTTAAAAGTAGGAGAGAATTATTAAACATCAGTGAATTGCAGAACTAACCACAAGCTTTCTAGAATGCTTAAACCCACAAATGTTTGAAAAGGTCCAGAATTCTCTCTGACCTGGATCTGTCTCCAGCTATTGCCCAAACTGGGCACCCAAGGACGATTTTAAGAACAATGTGTGCATGTAATGGTATTTCTCCAGAACACGTTTTTTAGTCAAGTACTTCCTGAGTCACAAGTGACATCTTTGCAGTTCATAATTTTCACAGAAATTTTATTTCATGAACTTTTCTTGTTGCCTTCTAAGCCCATGTAAACTTTCAGCATCCTGAACACACCGTCCCATAGAGTTCCAACAGCTCCACTATGTATTACAATTACCCAGACTATATTATCACAAAGAACTTGGGTCCCAAAGCAGTTGAAAACTTGTGATTAGATTCTGAAAGTTGAGTTTTAGATGCTTTAGGTAACTTTGGAGAATGGTCTTGGAGATCTTAGTGCTTGTGTTAAAATACGGAGGCACAACAGGAAAGCCGTTTTCTGAAAGTTTAGTTCTAAGTTGTTTTCTGTTATCAGCCATGATCTGTGCAGATGTGGGAATACAGTTTTAAGATTCCTTGACTCCCTAACCTTATGCTAGTCAGAGAATCAATCTTGCTACTACAATATAATGATCTGTGAAAATTAAAACTTCTAGTGCATTTTAGAAAAACAGGGAAAATCTAGCTACAAAAGCTCTCTCAAGCAAAGTTACCTACTTAAAATAATGTCATTTTAAACTTACAAATGCAAAAGGCTTACACAGTGAGAAGTTTAACTTGTGTTTGTATATAAGAAGCCACCACGTTGTTTTTTTTTCTTATTAGGTTAAATGCTGTACAGTATTATGTACAGGGAAGAAACCAAGAACGTTTAGCTGAATGTTACTACATGCTAGAGGACTACCAAGGACTGGAGAATCTAGCTAACTCACTTCCGGAGAATAACAAATTGCTCCCTGTAAGCAAAAAGCACCTTTATTTTTCATTGTCTTATGCTGAACTATTTATTTTAAATTTTCCATCTTGGGAGGATTAAGAAAGAGAGAAAGAATGCAATATATGACATACTGACTTAAGCATAATGGTGTTACTTTGATATTGATCTCCAGTATTACTGTTGTTTTCATACTCTATCATTCTTCCTTTCCCTTATTGTCCAGGTTCCATATATAGACCTGATTATTCATCATGCTGTACAGCCACATGGCTAAGCCATAATACACTGCTTCCCTCCCCAGATTGTGGCATTTCTCTCCAAAATAGCTGCGCTTCACTGAGAAGTCACTCCTCATGGCTGGACACTAACTTTAACTTTCATTTTGTCATGTAGTCTACACTGTTTCTTGATTTTTTTTTTTTTTCCCCAAAAATTCTTCCTAGTTGCTATCCCTGGTTT